TAAATAAAAACAATCAAACAAACAAAAAACCCCACCACTAATTAGGTGGTTGCTATGCAATGTTTTTTTTATTTTATTCCTGCTTATTTTATTCCAGTGTTTTAATTTTTAAAATGTTTTAAAGCTTGTCAACTACTTAGCTTTAGTAATCATTTATTTAGCCAATTGGTTGAGTCCAAAACAATGCATTTCTGTTTCTTTCCATTTGGAAAGTGTATAATTTTAGTGCACTTTTATTTCAAAGTCTGAGATAGCAAAGTTAAGAAGCAGATGACAATGATTTTCTAGTAATTTGATGTGTCAGGGTACTTAAGCTTCCTGAACCTTAGGTTTATCAACCAGTAAATGGATAAAATAATTCTTACTGTGCAAGCTTACCATCAATAACAAATATGAGAGGTTATTCCTAGTTTCTGGACTAAGCTACTCTTAATATAACCAATAATTTTGAGTCTACAAGTAATAAAGTCCAACTCCACCTCCAAAAATAACTTATCTCAGCATAATTTAAAAATGACTAGGCTTTTATTTATTTTTAATAGCCACATCATAATTGTTCCTTAATTTTCTCATTCGGTACTTTCAAGGGGGGAGGTGGGAAGGGAGCAAGAGAGAATACAGAGAGAGAAATGAGCTAATTTTATAGGGCCTGTCCCTGAGTTGGAATTCTTCACCTCACCATGGCTTGTTCAGATAAGAGTAAGAAGACATTCTTTCCACAGGGGTCATCGATCCCTAAAAATACACAGAACTTTCACTGTGTCAGTGCAATGACTGAACATAAAAATAAATTCCTTGTTTTTAATACGACTTATTAGAGAATATCATCAGTATTATCATCTCCATCTTCTTCATGACTCTTATTATTGATCTTGCTAATAGTAGCTAACATTAATTGAAATCTTATCTTGAGAGTGTGTCAAATATTCCAGGTGCTGGCTAAGCATTTCTTTTTTGGCATTATCTCATCTAATCCACTTAGCCCACACTCTTTATTATTTATTTTCAACCCATTGATGAGAATGGCGAGGGGTTAAGTGACTTGCCCAGGGCCTCACAGTAAGTGACAGACCTGGGATTGATTCCCAGATCTGTTTGAATAAAGGTCCTGTGCTCATGTAGCCTTTGTATTATAATAGTTCAGCAGTCAGTTTCCCATCTCTATGCCATTTATAGAATGATCAGCAGCGCTGGTTTGGTTAAAGGTTCAGATACTTTGACATGTAGTTAGAGTTATGAGGTAGCGGGGTGGCAGTACAGCCCAAGGCTAGATTAACATTAGAAATAAAACCAACCAATAAACAAAACATACTGGGTAAGTGACTTTTTTTTAGAATTGTTAGTTCCAGTTCATGGAGTAAACAATGTTCCTAGGTTGTAAAAAAAAGAACATTCTAGAAAGAGGTTTATTAAAATTAGTTGATACTTTGCAGTATTTCAAATGGTTTTGCAGAGCAAGTCAGATAATGGTTCTCTCTCATTTCTTACTAAAAATGAGCATATTACAAATTGCCTAGTTTGGATAATAGAAATATTTTATATTGTGCATACATCCTATAAGAATAATTATATGTGTCACAAAAAGCAATTTTAAGGAGTTCTGTGTTGAAGAATTTTGTTTGACTTCTTTTAAGTAAACTGAAGAAGAATGGAAAAAAAAAACACACCTCTTAAAGTACTTTGGGCACACCTTTATTTTTTTGTAACTTAAACTTGTGTAATAATAATAATACATGAAAGAAAAAGTCTTTAAAAACACATTTTCTTAACATTTCTTTTATAATACAAGTACTGACTATAATGATAAATTACACATACCTATATACCCATATTTTAATTTTTCAATAGCAGAAACGTTCCTAACAATTTATCTCTTGAGTATAATTACTGAAGTTGTTTTTGGAGCCCTATAGTTTATTTAGTTTCTGAATATGGAACTTCAACTGCTTCAAACATCAATGGCTGACAGGTCCTTGGGAAGAAGGAGTTTGCAAAAGTGCAAACGAGATATTGCTATACGATACACATTCCCAGGAGCAGCAGCATTAGCAAACAGGCAGGAATAGACTAATGCACTTTATGTTCCAGCATTATCGCTCAGCTGCCAACGCTGATCACATGGAACACGTTCTTTTGCAGAAAAATGCTTTGAAGCATGAAGGATTATTTGAAGAAGAACAGATGCCCAAAGGCAGTACCCATACGCATCAACCATCGTACAAAAACAAAAACAAAAAACACCCTAAAGTATAAACCAAGATTTTTACACCGAAGAAACATAGTTATAATTTCTTGCTCTTGAGAGCCATTATTGAAATATGTAAGTTATTTTGGGTCAAGGAAAATCTTCTGATCCCTCCATATACTGACTTCTATGAGTGCCCATCTTGAGTTCTATTCTCCAAGACAGTGGGACAGATTAAAAGTCTGATGACAAAATCCGCTGGGTAATATACCGTCTTGGATAAGCCTTGTTTAAATTCCGTTCTATGAAATATTATACCCACTAGAATATAAGCTCTATGAGGTGACAGATTTTTTTAAAGCATTTTGTTCATTGATATTGCCCCAGCACCTATGGTACTTGGCACTTAGTAGGTACAAAATAAATATTTTTAATAAATTCATAACAAAATGAATTTCTTTTTTATTCATAACAAAATGCAAGCAGAAAATACTAAAATAAAGATCATGTTAAGGCAATAATGTGGTCTTAAAGCCATGGGCACTGAAATATGTACTGAACATCTTTCACAGAATTTTGCCCCAACCAGGGCCTTAGCCAAGCAGCAAATTATCTGACCCAGAACATTTTACTCCACACTCTATGTCACTTGCTTATATCATGAGCAATGATATAAAGTGGAAAATGTGAAAGGCCCAAATAATTTACTTTAAGAAAAAATATAAAGCTCTCTCCCATCACAGCTCACCACTTAATAATGTAACGTCATAGGAACCAGGAACATCTCACCTCACAACTCACATGCCTGTATACTTTACCCCATCATGCCTGGGGTATTCTGGAACAAGGTATGAAACCTTGCTTCCTTCAATTTTTTTATTCCCTTGTAACAACATCTGTTGGTCCTTCCACTGCTAGAATTTAAGAGAGATTCTGAGGAATCTGACAAGGATCCAAGAAATATCTGCCCTTACCCAGAAACTGGGGAGAGACCTTTATCTCCCAGAGCCAGCCCAGTTCAGATGTAATCGCCTTCAGGAGCCTTCACTGATTCCTTGCAAGCTGCCTTAATCATTCTCCTCTCTGATCCCATAATACCTTCCACCTCTTTTTTTCTATGCTTTTATCTTTATTGCTAAAAGTATTATAGAGGTCCCTCCTTTCCCCCCTCACTGACCTCCTCCACCTGCTCCTGCCCCCTCCCCAGGCCTTCAGCCCCTTTAAGAGAACCAAATTGAATGATCAGTGAGTAGCTGTTCCTCCCACTAAACTGTAAGCTTCCTAAGGGGTCATGTCATTTCTCCTTAGCGTTTGTCATCGTGGGGACCACAGTGCCTGGGATATAGTAGGTGCCCAGTCAATGTTTGCTGAGCTCCCTGCTCCCTCTCTATGTTCTGCAATTACCATCTTGAATGCTGTGTGTGAAAGTAGAATATTGTTGCTGGAAATGTTCCTCTAATGCAATTGAAAGCACTATGTGAAAACCATAATTTGATATTCTGTTTGATAGAGGATGTTATTTCTGCTTTAAGAAACTATTGTCCACAACCCCATGATGCACTAAAATTAGGATCTCTGTTCCAGGTTTCAGAAACCCAAATAGCAAGTCAAATGAGGAATTTATTATAAAGATAACATGTCTCATAGAGGCCACAGGCAGGGACAGAATGAGGCTAAACTTTGGGAATACATGTCCTAGGGACTCAGACTCTCAGGAAAGTTGAATCTTCTATCTCTGGTCTCTCTAATCAGCTTCCTTTGCTTTTCTGATCCACATGAGGAAAAACAGGACTGCCCATAGCTTCGAAATGGGAATGACTCCAATTGGCCCAACTTCATTAAGTATTCCCGTTCGACCAGCCAAATGCTGGAAGTGGGGTCAAAAATATGGGCAGGCTGTTGGGCAGAAAATCCCATAGGTATGTCCACCACACTTCCAAGTTCTTAGTTTCTAAGGAAAACATCTGGTCAGAATGGACTATCTCAAATTTAATAATGGTAGTCCCTATAAAATATAAAGTTTTTCAAAGCATAGTATTCTAATGTACTTCTCTTAATAATACATGGTACCAATAGAAAATTCCTGAGTATATATGTGTTTTCTTTGTTTTAAAAAATAAATTAATTTTATTATTTGATAATATTGACAATTTATATCCAAGTTCATTTAATATATGCAAAACAATTATAAATACATTTTGAAAAGATACGAAAATCCTCAGTTCTTTCTTGACATCAGACCTACTAATTTTCAAAAGACACCATGAACATCTTAGGGTCAAAACAAAATACTCCAGTCTGAATTGTCTTGAGAGATTCCTTTGGTCAACCAACATCAGTTCAGGAAAGAAGAAACATTTACGCCTTCTTTTTTTGTTTTAAATGCTCAAACAAGCATTGTTTCGAGTGTTCTCAGTATCAAAGAAGACTGAGAAAGAGAAAGGGCATGAACTGAGTCCAGAAGACTTGAAAAGAAAAGATATACAACATAAATCAGCTGTATATAATCCTGTTGTAAGAATGTCTAAGTCAGGAGAAAAAAATAGAATTAGAAACATCAGTTGTTGACTTAGCTCTCATTGATATTTGAGCTAAGTCTGTATTACACAGAAGCACAGCCTCGGTCTCTCCCCAAACAGGATGTGTAATAGAAAGTGATATACAGCTTCACCTTTTCTCCCAATTCTCCACTGCACTTTATGCATGGCGTCTACCCTGTGAATAAAATTTACAAAGATTCTGGAAAAGGAGCTGCTGGGATGACAGGTGCAACAGCCAAAGTGCAGCAATTTGGGGACATCCTCCATCTGTATTCATAAAAGATCTAGCCTGTCAGTGTTGAAAGTTCCATATTCTATGGAATGTTGGTTACATGTAGATTTTGCTTCTTCAGTTGTAAAGAGTCCTTATTAAATTTACTAGGGAGTTAAAGGAGCATTTGGGAAGATGGTGTCAGGTAATAGTTGTATACACGGGATTTCATTGCAACAACATTCCACTGAGAGCAATCACAGGTACTGCTTGTTAGAAGGACAGAAACAAGCATACAGTCACAACCAGCTTCTGCCTGGGCTCTGCTATGCTGCCACTGACCCTTATCCTGGGGAATAACTAGATCTTCCAGTGCTAGTGTTGATACTTCAGTGAACTTCACTGGGGCTTAATGACTGCCAGGCACTTCCTGTCCATAGCTCTACGCATTCTACTAGCTAGGGGGCAAATCTGTTTGCTTTACTAACCTAGAGTTTATTCATGTCTCTAAGCATTTATAAAGGAGCAAAGGGACATAATAAAAGTCAATGCTGCAGAAAGTTTCTGCAGAAAAATAGCCCCAGTATCTCAGAGTCATGACAAAGCACAGTTCAGTGGAAAGTGTTGGGTTATCTAGTGAGTTCGGTTGTACCAACTGTGAGGGGCAAAAATGATGGTTCAGAGCACAAATGTTGAATGGTGTAAATCTTGGATCCAGTTTCAGCTCCACCAGTTCCTAACTCTGAAAATCTGGGTTAGATTATTTAACTTCCTTGGGTCTGTTTCCATATATGGGAAATAAGGATCATAATAGATATCTCAGAGATTCTTGCAAGTATTCAAGGAAATAACATATTTCAAACTCCCAGCACATGGTAAGTGTTGGATAAGTGGCAGATGTATTTATTATTAATGCAACATCTAGTATCTAGAGTCCTTCCTACTTCTTTTTCTTATTTAACTGGCAATCCTGGCGACAAATCCTGGATTAAGTGGAATTTTAATAATATTCCCTTCTTAACTGGGTACTTTTTCCCAATTATTAAATGATAACAAAATTTATTATTATAATAAAACAATAGTAAACAACACAAACTCTTACAAACAAAAGTAAATAACATTATTTAAAATTCATTTTGTTAGCTGTTTTCCTGAGACACATTCTGTCCATTTTCAGTTGAGCATGGCATTTTGTAGCTTGCGACCAGCCTGGAGGTACCTTCATAGACTGTAGGAAACAAAAAAGAGCAAGCATTTAAAAGAAAGATGTACTATGAATACCACCTCATTCATATATATATATATATATCTAGAACCATAATTTTTGTTTTCAATCCATTAGTGTTATCCTGGTAACACGTTCAGAACATTGTAATTTCTTGAGAAGTGTTTACTGTACCCCATTAATCTGGAAGTTTCTGGGAAAGGAAATTCTTTGTGATGCTGGGAGATCTATGGAAAGTCACTGTCTCTCTCTTGCTGAAAGTTAACAAGGAAGCACGTGGCCCTGATTGCTACTGGCCTTGGAGGAAGTAATCAAGGATGAAGCCACCTCTTCATTTTATTTTATTTTATTTTTTTAAATGTATTTTATTGACTTTTTACAGAGAGGAAGGGAGAGGGATAGAGAGTTAGAAACATCGATGAGAGAGAAACATCGATCAGCTGCCTCCTGCACACTCCCTTACTGGGGACGCACCAGCAACCGAGGTACATGCCCTTGACCGGAATCAAACCTGGGACCCTTGAGTCCACAGGCTGATGCTCTATCCACTGAGCCAAACCAGTTAGGGCAAAGCCACCTCTTTAGACAGTGAGCAGAAAGAGAGAAATCATGTTTCCCTGCATGGGAGTCTCTGGATTGCCAGTTCATGTGTGCCAAACACTCCTTCGTTTTAAACCAGCTTGGTTGTGTTTGGCACTATCACAGCCAAACCGACCTGGTGACTATTGTTTGCCCCCTCAGAGCCCTTCTCTGCCTGCTGTGCTCTCCAGGGGTCTGACTCTAGAGATTGCATCACAAGGTCTCTCTTGCCTTTCTGGTTCTTCTTGGGTTTAGCTAGTGGAAGGCTACTGCTAAAGATCTGAGGGCAGAAGGAGAGAAAGTTTAGGGTGTTTTTCTCCATTTCCTGCCTCCCTCCTTGTTTAGGTTACAGCAGTGGCTATTTCCTTCCACAGCAACAGCTCCTGCCTGGTGGGCCCTCCACCAGCCCACCTCTCAGGGCCAAGAGAACACAACTCCAGCCCTCATGAGCATGGGAGGGGTACAGCCTCCTGCCATAGTGAGACTCTGGAGCCTCCATGTTCTTCTGAGTTTCCTCAACCCTACCCCCAACCCCCACCCCTACCCAAGTCCCTTCTTCAAAATCTTTTTATTGGCTATAGCTGGTTTGGCTCAGTGGATAGAGCATTGGCCTGTGGACTAAAGGGTCCCTAGTTTGATTCCGGTCAAGGGCACATGCTTGGGTTGTAGGCTCGATCCCCAGTAGGAGGCAGCTAATCAATGATTCTCTCTCTTTATTGATGTCTCTATTTCTCTCTCCCTCTCCCTTCCTCTCTGAAATCACTAAAAATATATTTTTAAAAATCTCTTTATTGGACCATCCCAGAGGATTTGTGATTTCTACTGGGAAACTAGTTGATACATTTAAAGAGCACAGGACGGTGTTTGGCATGTGGTAAATGCTCAATAAATGAAGCTATTAATAGAACATTACTATTGTTATTTCCTCTCAATGTGAGATGTCTCTCCACCTGTTCTTTGTGTCCAAAAATGAGGAAGAAAAAATATAACTACACAACTATGTAAAGTTAGAAAACCGCCCAGCCGGCATGGCTCAGTGGTTGAGCATCCACCTTTGAACCTGGAGACCATGGTTGAGTTCTGGTCAGAGCACATGCTCGGGTTGTGGGCTTGATCTCTAGTAGGGGACGTGCAGGAGGCAGCCGATCAATGATTCTCTCCAATCATTGATGTTTCTATCTCTCTCCCTCTCCCTTTCTCTCTGCAATCAATAAAAATCTATTTTTAAAAATTAAAAAATCAATTGATCTGGGTGCCTTAGAAAAAGTATATGAAAGTCCTCTTCCCATATGCATGTATCTCTGTGATAACATGTGAGAGAAAGATATGAGAACATTTTATTTGACTTCAGAGTCTATGAAAAATTCTATTTATTTTTAGATGTTTTTAAACATAATCAAACTCCAATCAATGATTTATTAGATGCAATCAAAGCCCCATTTTCCCAGATAAATGCCACCTGTATAGTTTCCCATCTACCAAATTTATCACACTCACCATTAAGCAATACTAGTCTCTTGAATATCTTCATTTACAGGAGTTATATCTTTACCAAGATTTGGCATATCTTCTTTCTTTTTCCTTCGAAGGGGACTTGGAAAATGGTGTTAGAAATTAGCATGGGCCTGTTAGTTCATGCGAAGACAAAATTAACCAAGAAAGCCGCCTATGAATTTATTTCTACACTTGTTAAGAGTGCATAGTTCCTTTATTTTCCTTAAATATTTGAGGTTTTCTCTTAAATCATCTCTCTCCCTAGGTTCCGATGATTGTTACAATAAGCAACAGTGGGATAGAGTATGGCTATAGATAGAAAGAATATTGATGCAGTTTGGTTAGCACAAGAACATTTTCTAAAACGAGTCATTTTACAAAATAGATGGATACAACATTATTTAGGTGTATATAAGATATAATACACATTGGAAACAAATGTAAGAAAACCAAGAGCACTTTTGGAATGTTAATTAAGTTTCCAGATACATTAGAAATCTGGACTGTAATCCCATTTTTTAAAAGCATAATTCATAATTAATGTGATAAAATAGGCAACTTCTGAGTTCTGTCCAACAGATACTCTGTCCCGAACCTGGCATTATAAAAGCTCCTTTTGCTATAAAGTAGGTAAAATTAAAAAAAAAAAAAGTTTTCAATTTTGTAGCTAGAAGGAATCCTACAGATTATCTAGTTCAATCCTCTAATTTTACAGAAAATACAATTAAAGGCTTCAGATGTTATAAGAAAGTTCTCCAAAGTTTCAAAGATACTCAATGGCAGAGCTGGAACAAAAATAAAAGTCACCCTGGAGCTCTGCTTGTGTTTCTCAGCCCTGATGGCTGTGAAGAAAGGGATCATGAGACGCCCTCTTCTGGTCTAGGCCGCAAACCAGAAGTAATTGCAGCAGTTTAGGAGGCTGCACTAGTTTCTCAAGACAGAAAGATAGCACTGGAAGGGAAGACATTTTAGCATACCACCTGGGAGTTCTAGTCTAACAAACCATTTGATGGGTTTCCAAAAGTAACTATCTTAAGTAATATACCAAGCCACACTCTCTCAGACAAAAGCAAGGTGTTTCTTGAGTGCCAAAGTTGTGGCATATAATGAAAAAAGAGAAGAACAAGAGTGTGATTATCTTTCATAAATTAAATTCATTATTTTGATGTGGGGAAAAAATGTTTTGTTCATTTATACTGAGTGGCCAGATTATTATGACCACCCCATCAGTACTTCGTTGACACTTCCAAAAATCTGAATATTGAAAACTTCCTAAGCAAATACTCTCAAGGTTTTATTATCATTATTATTTGCATAACTAATTCACTTCATTGTACTGATGGGGTGGGTATAATAATCTGGCCGGTCATAATAACCTGGCCACTCAGGGTATTTCAATCTTTCAAAGTTAGCTTGTCATGGTGCAGTTTGAGAAAAGGAGTCTAATTTAGCCCAACAAACTCACATAAAATATGACGAACTTTAGGACTAAATAATAGTTTTCTTTAAATTAGGAAATTTATACAAATTTGATTTTAAACTATAATAATTGTGCTCGGTAAAATGACAAATATCATGTGTTTTGTTATAAATAGTTTAAATAAATGATGGCAAACCTGGAAAGTGATTTATTTAAATCAAAGGAAAAACTAAAAAAGTTAGGACAGAAAGAAGGAAGGAAAGAATCAGGAAGATACAGTTTCTCAGATTTACTTTAAATTAAAAATACTTACTGACAGCATGTGCAGACACCAATCACCAAAATGATCAATGTCACCATAACTGCAGTCAAACAAATGACCAGAATCTGTCCTGTGTCTCCCCTCAGGTAAAAAAAGTCAACTCTCTCACATCTCGCCCCTGCGTAGCCATCATCACAGCTGTAAAAACAAAACAAGAACACAGCAAGGTGAAAATGGGAGTTTTCTGAATCTCTACTATTTCTTTTATGAAGAAACGAACACTGTTTTCATTCCCTGGAATTAATATGGGACACAATTCCTTTAAAATGTTAAATAGCTATACACCACTAGGTTCATGAACAATTTCTCTTTCTTTGCTTTGCTGAAAATCTGTCATCACTTGAACAATATTAACAAAATGTGTAACATAAATAAATAGGGATGTTGACAAGTTACTAAACTTTAGTTTGGAATTATAGATTTTGCGTTTGAATAGAGAAGATGATAAAATTCCCTCCACAACATTCCCAAGCACTTAAATACCTACATGACAAGGGTTTCCCATTTCATTATAGAGCAATAGGAACAATTTCAGCGTGCCCAGGTCCTCTTAATATAATTTATTTAAAAATTATACTGTTTCATATTATCAAAAATGGTAATGTGCATGGAAGTTCATAGACATCTACCTACATATAGAAGTTCCATAAATATTATTTAACAGAATTCCTCTCTTTCTGTGACTTCCACCCATCAGTTCTAGTTCTACTGCTTGCATGCGTCACAGATTAGGTACTGCTCTTCTATTGCTCTTCTAGTCACCACCTCCCCAACTACACTCCCAAACACAATAGGTCATTATCCTCTCTGGTTCCTGGTTTCTGGTTCCTTTATCTGATCTTCTAAGGCCACATTCTCAGATCTGGTCATAATTCCCTCTACTCTCTTCCAAATGGCCTCCCTTTCTCCATGGCCTAATAAAGTGCAGTGACCAGAAATCAACAAGTTATCACTCCCCTCATTCTCTCAGCTCTCTATCAATACAGTCCTAGGATTCACCTGAACTCAGCGGATGCCCCAAGTCTGAGTTACAGTTAGGGTTGTATTTGACCACGCCAAGGCTTGTCTGAGCAACACTCAAGAAGCTCCAGGCTCAGTGATTTGGAGACTATTCCTGGTATTGTCTGAAGAGTGCCTGTGCTTCAAAGGTATTTAAGAAGTTTAAGGACATTTGAAACTGAAATTGTATGTTGTAACATCAATTACTTTTCCCTTTTCTCCTTAGACGCAATCAAAATGCAGAGATGTTGGTCATAATTATATACATCCGAAAAGGGGGAAATTATGTTTCTTGAAAAGACTTCTGTACAACCTCTTTTGTTTTGTTTTGCTAATCTTGATTTAGTTTTAATTTTGTAAAAAGAGATGAATTGCCAGGCTGTTCTATGGTTTATGTTTGACCAAAAAGTCAAGGCAGTTAATTCCCACAAAGCCTATATTTCACAAATAAGGAGATTCCCTAAATTCCAAGATTGCAGCTGATACAATGCTACAAAAATCAAACAAAACAAAACAAAAAAACAAGCTTGGCCGGAGTGGCTCAGTTGGTTGAGCATCATCCTGTGCACTGAAAGGTTGCTGGTTCCATTCTTGGTCAAGGCACACACCTGGGTTGCAGGTTCCATCCTCATTTGGGATGATCATAGAAAGCAACCAGTGGGTTACTCTCTCTCTCTCTCTCTCTCTCTCTCTCTCTCTCTCTCTCTCTCTTCCTCTCTCTCCCTTTCCTCCCCTCCCTCCTTCCTCTCTGTAAGCATGTCCTCGGGTGAGGATTGAAAACAACAACAACACAAAAACAAGCTCAATCTCAACCCTGAGTTGAAAGGTGAGGCTCAATGCAGGCACAGGAGAAAGACACTTAATGACATCTACTGCACAAGGACCCCAGGACCTATGAGAGAAAACTGCTTCCTTCAAGAGAATTGGGTATCTTTGTTGCAAGATTAAAATCATGGAAAGAAAGCTTAGAAATATCTCGAAACGTCAAAAAAATCTCTTGTACATGGGCCTGGAACTGGGGGGGCGGGGGGGATCACTTTTAATTGCATATGTGGGGTGAAGGTTTTTAAGAGTCTTTTTTTAAAGGTCATAATTAAAATCTTACAAATATAGTCTCTCCTAATTAGCTTAAATGTTTCTCTAACAAATTCACTAAAGGTGGCATTTTTAAACAAAAACTTTGCCTGTAAAATACACAGCAATTACTTAATGCTCTTTAGAATGCTTTTCTAATTATAAACTTCAGATCCTGTGGTGTAATCACACTTCAGTTGAATTTCTCAGTGAGCAGTAACCCTCCCTAAAAGTTATAACCCAGTGAACCATGCTAGAAGGTGAAACCTTCACCAGTGACAGTGGCTCTCATGTTATTTCACTTCTCATCAAACCAATAATAACCTATATGCTGGTGTTCATTTTAAAAGGTGAAAACGAGGCAAAGGTACAAGATTCCAGTAGATGTTTATTAAATGCTGAATAACTAAACAAAAATGAGATTTAATAACCATGAAATAAAATTTTAAATAATCTTTAAAGATGCCCATGACCCTTGAGGACTCCGCAAAATCAGATTGGGAATCACTTTTCTGGAATAATCACCAGACACAAATCTAAGAGATTTAGAAGTATTAGCTCAATTGATTCTTTTTTTAAATACATTTTTATTGATTTCACAAGGAAGAGAGAGGGAGGGAGAGAGAGACAGAAACATCAATGATGAGAGAGAATCCTGGATTGGCTGCCTCTGGCATGTGCCCTGACTGGGAATTGAACCTGAACCTCCTAGTTCATAGGTCAATGCTCAACCACTGAGCCACGCTGGCCGGGCTCAATTGATTCTTAAAACAACCTTTGCAGTAGTTGTTATTATTAACCCATTTTACAGATGGAGTAACTCAGCTATAGAGAAATTGAGGGAGTGGGGCTGGGGCTCAAATGCAGGAAGTTGCCTACCAAGTTAATGCCCAATCCCATGTAATTCTGCTTAAATGAAATGTGCTGCATAAATAAATAAAAATTATGTATCTGGAAAAAAATTATGTATCTGGAAACAAATTATCTCCATTCCAAGAATCTCCAGAAGAGACTAATAGAGGATTGAAGTTCTTTGAAGTTCTTTGAAGCACTGTGGTATTTATGTAAAAACAGGAATCCACAAACTCCTGTGAGCTCAAGCAAAAGGAGATATTTCTGGTTCCCAGAATAACATAGGCACCATGGGCAGGACAGTTTCGCCTGAATCCATGTAAGTTACCCAAAAGGTCAGGCCTAGGTTTAGGTTCAATATTTCTCACTCATCTCATGGTACAAATTATGAAACATTTACTCTGTGCTAGGTACCATAATACATAGTTTTATTAATGTTTATTTTGCTTAGTTCTCAACACTTCAGAGGGAGATATCATTCCATCTTACAGATGATAAAACTGAGAATTGGGAAAGATAACTGATCCATTATTAAACTTGCTTATTATTGATGGAAACAAAATTTTAACTTAGGTCTATTTGATTCCAAAATCTGCGTCCTGCCCCATATGCTTTCCCACCTCCTATTGATTCAGTATCATTCTACCACTAAGAAGGTGTTCCTGGTTCAGATGAAGGCCTTGGTTTGTGTGTGTTTTTATGTTTTTTAAATTGATTTTTTTAGAGAGAGGAAGGGTGAAGGATATATAGAGAGAAAGATGAATCAGCTACTTCCTGCATGCCCCCTACTGGGCATTGAAGCCACAATAAGGGCATGTGCTCTGACCAGGAATTGAGTAGGTGACCTCCTGGTTGTGGGTCAATGCTCAACGACTGAGCCACATCGCCCGGGCAAGGCCTTGGTTTTGACACTTAGCATAGCATTAGATGGATTACGATAGGGGGACTCAGTCACTAATTCATCAGTCATTTCTTCAGCACCTAGTAAAATCTAGGTGTGATGCTTGGCACTGGAACACAAAAAGGAATAAGCCATGAGCCCTGCCTTCTAGGTGTTCACAGCCACAGAAGTGACATTTACAGAAACCATTTATGCTCCAAGGGGAGAGTTTTTATAGAAGTGGGACTAGATCCCAGAGAAAGGGCATCTAGCCAACACCTGAACGTGTCTGAGAAGAGGGAAGATAATGCAGGGGTCCAGGAAGAGCTGATGTTTGAGTTGCATGTAAAACACCAGTGAGAATGAGCTTTGCAGATTCTGAGAAGAGCTTGTGTGATATACATGCAAGGGAATGCAGGATTGTAGAGGAACATTTGACTCCATCACGGAGATGTGGTTAGGAAGTTAAAGCGGGATCAGAGGAGCTTTGGAGGCTGAGGAAATGAGTGGGCAGAAGGGAGCATGCTGTGTGTTGATTGATCTTAAGGAGTAGATTACACACTGTGGTTTTCATTTTAGAAGGCAGCAAAACTAAAGAGCAATAAATGTACAGACATAGAGATCAGTTAGAAAAATGTAGTGCATTAATGAGCATTAATATTTAAAAGACTCGATATATTCTCCCAAACCAATGAGCAACTAAATGGAATTGGAAAAAAAAATCAGCTCTTTCCCAACACACACACACACACACACACACACACACACACACACACACATCTTTCTTATTCCCTTTTCCCCTCTAATTATTATCCTTATATATTTATTTTTAAATTAAATTAAATATAATTAAATTTTGAAGAAGTCCATCACTCAAACATTTCACTAAATTAGGGATTAGAATTACTGTCCTGAGATAATGATTAAAAAACAAACAAACACAAAAACTATGCTGGGGGGAAATGCACAGAATATAAATATTGTATGAATTTTAGGTCAAAATTATACTTAAGAAATCACATTGCTACCCTATGAGGTAAGCTCTAAGAGCATTTTAGAGGGACATCGCTTTAGAAGAAAATGAATATTTAAATTATGCAAAAATGTTTCTTGTGCCTGAGTAAATTAAAATTTGGACTCTTAATGTACTAACAGGTGAAGATTTTTCTCCCAATTCCCTGCCCTATTAAACAAGCTTTGGAAATCTATATTTATGGATAAGATGGGTTTCTTTGCACTTAATTGACACCTGCAAAAGTAACTTTTAATTTGGCAGGAACTCTTTCATATTTAAATGAATTACAAACCACATAACTAATGCCAGAAAATGTTGTTTCCATTCAAAACACATGGGAGATAAATTGAGCTTTTAAAAGCACCCTTTAAAAATTATCTTTATTGTTGAAAGTATTACAGATATTCCCCCGTTGACTGCCTCCACCCCACTTCCGCCCCCCCCCCCCCCCAGGCCTTTACTGCACTATTGTCTAACCATGGGTTATGCATATATCCATATAAGTTCTTTGGTTAATCTCTTCCTGCCCTCCTGTGAGGCTCATGTGGTAACCACTACACCACAGACACAAGATGGGTTAAGGGTAAGGAATTATAAGAAGTACACAGGAGGATGTCACCAAAACAGAAGCAAGTCCCATGGAGATCCCTGGATTCAAAGTCAATAGTGCTAACCATCACACCGTGGGGCTGTAGAAGCAACCCAGGTGCCCATCAGTAGATGAGTGAGTAAAAACGCTGTGGTACATACATAGAATGGAATACTACTAAAAAAAGAATGGAATCTTACCATTTGCAATAGCATGTATGGACCTAGAGGCCTTTATGCTAAGTGAAATAAGTCAGTCAGAGGAAGACAAATACCATATGATTTCACTTGTTTGTGGAACCTAAAGAATAATACAAATGAGCAAACAAAACAGAAACAGAGTCATAGATACAGAGAACAGACTGATGGTTGCCAGAGGGGAAGGTTGGGGGGTTGGAGGGGGAAGATGAAGACATTCAGAAGTACAGATTGGTGGTTACAAAGCAGCCAGAAGGATGGAAATCTCAGCATAGAAAATATAGTCAACTATATTGTCATAGTATGTAAGGTGCCAGGTGGGTACTTGATATAGGGGAACACTTTGTAAAGTATATGATTATATAACCACTATGCTGTATACCTCAAACTAACACACAATAAATTGAATATAAACTAAATTGAAAAATAATAATAATAAAACTATAGTGAAAGAGAAAAAAAAACATTCTCAACACTGGACAGAAACAGACTTGCTTGACTAAGTCAGCAGAGGACGGGGCCCTGCCTGCAAGCAAATCAGGACCCTCTGATGGGCACCAGTTTCTCCATAAGCACCTGCGGAAGGAGCCCCTGAACAAGTGGCTGGGGTAGGCCAGGGGTCTCTGTGCTGGCAGGTGGCTTGATTAGCTCAAACTTACCAGAGCTGCGGAGCCCCCGGCCAGCACCATCCCGCGCCCCTTTGCTTGCAGGCTCAGGGCCTCCACTTACAGGCAGGAGGGTGTCTGCAGGGCCCCCACGAAGCGACATTTCCCATTGATGCAGTAATGCTCATATTTCTTGGGGCATGGAGAGAAGTAGTCATTCCACTTTGATTGTGTGGTGGTAGCTAAAAAATAAGAAAAACTTCAATAAGTCACTCACCTTAAAAACACATTTCTAAGTAGAACTGTGGTGAGAACATTTCATATTTTAATTAGATTTATGAACATTCTATCTCTCAGAAACATTGTTGTTGTTTAAAGGGCGAAGCATAGTTGTGGTAAGAGAAAAGGTTACTCTTTTCATGAAGATTATAGAGCTGTGGGGCTGGTGGCATTGAAGAGAGAGATATGCTTTCCTTTTCCTTTTTAAAGTTGTTTTAATTTAAACACAAAGCATTTACTGAAAACTAGATGCTGGTCTGTATACTTTGTTTTTAAGAATGCATTTAATTCTCATAACATTCTTAGAAGTAAACAGTATTCTAATGTCCTATTTATTAATGAGCAAACCTCCTATTTATTAATGAGAGGCTGAGGCACCTTCCAGAGTCACACAACTAGTGCTAAGCAGGCCTGGGGAGCAAACGTGGGCCATCTTGCCCCACAGTCCGTGCTCTTGACCCCTCCACTCAGCACTCCATCTAGCCAGCTGTTCACAGGTGGCTGTCATCTGCTCTGCACCTGAGGCCCCCAGAAGTCATGCTTCCTGAATGGGAGATTCTCTCTCTCAATTGACCCCTGGAAGGATGCTCATGGCCTGAAGAAGGAGGAAGATTCTGAAAGCTTCACATCCAGGATTTCAATCCTGCACTGCCCTGACCTTCTTGCCTCACCTTTAGAGTAGTGATTGCCTA